TACTTTTGTTTTGAAAAAAAGGCGGAAATTTTCAAGCATATTTGCTAGGCATAATTTCACCAGTGCGCCAAAAAAGTAAGTAAATTCATTATTAAAAAAGTAAAGTAAATAGTTGGATCAACAAACCTGGCATCGATGAAAGAGCTCCAATGATCTGTCCTCCATCATTTCAGGATCAATTTTGCCATGAATTTTCGACTGATGGTTTTCCATTTGGTCTTTGCGATAGTGTTCAACAGTGCATCCATCGAAAAGGCAGCGGAATCGGAATGTCTAAAACGGTAAATAAAAACATTTTCTTCAAAATAAATTAAGAAAAAACAATGAGATAAGCTGTTCTCCACTTACTCCATGATCTTTGGCCAAATGGAAGAACATATGCATTTGTCGTGCACCGGCAGTTACTGGTTTCTGACATTTACTACATTCTCCAAGTACTCGTTTCTTTGAGATCCTTAAAGGACTAAATCACAAAAATCATGTAGATGGCACTTAGAAATCTACTCCACACATAAGAAAAAATTTTTAGAGCTAAGGAAACTCACGCGCTGCTCAGAGCCTTTGCGCTTTGAGTTTTGGTCGGCTTTTCTACATGCGTGTCAGCGTAAGCATCTTCAATGCGGCCATCAGATGCAAATAAAGCAGCAACATTATCCAGAACAGAGCTAAAACGGGAAAAATCAAGAATGAAAATACGCTAATATGTTAACTAGGTCGATAAACAGCATAAAAATAGCAAATAGAGAATATTCTCACATCGGATTGAGATTGTCAAGAATGCTATCATCTATCATAGCACTATCATCCTGCTCATTCGCTTCATATTCAGATTTCAAGCGTTTGTTGTTGAACATAGGCATAATGTTGATGTCCAACTCATCCGTAACTGAAAATAAACAACCACAGAATAAGTCTGCCGATCAAAAAAGACATCAAGATATTCTATTAGCTTGTCCCAAAAGTAAACTTCTTTTCTATATAAATCGAAGTCTATTGATTAAGCTACAAGACTTGACAT